TAGCATAACTTTCACCTGAAAAACTTCACTTTACCAAACATAGACAGACCCTCACTTCAACATTATATACTTTTTTTATCGTCAATCCCATTAATAAGTACAAAGTCTGAACCTCACAATAAAATATGCAGTCCTATAAGGGAGCTCTGGTGGCATTGTCCCTAAGGCATTTGACTGCTAACCAGAAGGCTGACAGTTCAAACCCACCAGCCACTCCTCGGAAGGAAGGTTGGTCAATCTACTTCCATAGTGATGCTGCCTTGGAAACCCAAGGAGGGGTCACTATGAGTGGGATCCAACTCAATGACAATGAGTTAATTTGAGTATATAGAGGCTATTGCTCAAATGTTTTAGGATAGGAGGAGGATGTCAACTGATAGTAAAAGTTTCCGCCCCTACATTTTTGCACAAATGCCATGTTATTTAGTGATTAAGTTAATTGCCTCACTCCTCAGACTCTCCATATTTATTCATGGTCTTAATGAGTGCTTCCTACTTAGAGCTTTCTCCCTGTTCATAAAAGAATGAATATTTGTTAGGAATACAAATGTTTCATTGTGGTATTCATGTATTAGACATTCAAGCCTATGCTTCCATCTGTGAGCTAGTTTTATTTTACCAATACACAAAAAACTCACATCCTACATCTTTTTATTTTGCTTATTTTATGAATTAAGAGAGGAAAATTATATGACTGAAAATCAGAATAATATATTATTATGGGAAAGCCAATTCATGCTTTTGCTTCCAGATAACACTGAAAGATGTATGTAAAGATGTAATTTTCTATCCTTATTTAGTGAATTTTCTGCCAAGATGTCCTAAACCATGCACAAATAATAAAATCATATTTACATATCTAACTTGGTGGCTGCTATTACATACACACACACAAACTTATCCATTCAACAATTATTGTGTGCCTATTGTGGACCAGAAATCCTTGTAGGCTCTGAGGTAAACAGAAGAGATAGCAAACAAATAATCAAATAAAACTTGTCCTCAATGATTTTATATTCTAGTGGGA